GTCAAATGTAAGAAGGCAAAAATACATTAATACAGTTTTCTCCCAAATCTGGAGAGAAAATAAGGCTAGGGCTAGAAAATAACCCTCTCTTAGGCTTTACTAACATGCAACCACTTTTCTCAGCAATAGTGTTACTGTCCTTCTAGCAAACAGTCAGGAATTTGTACACTTTTCCAGGAGGCGGAAGGGTGCCTGTCTAACCTTTGCTTTGCCAGAGATAGTTGTCTTAACTGCTAAGGAATTCATGGGTGTGCACTCCTGGCCCAAAGCACAGCCTCTCAGGAGCAGCTACTGCCCAGCACCGACCAGAGAGTGCTGAGGAGTAAGCACGTCTCGTCAGGAAGCATGCCATGGGAACAAATGCCTTGCTGAGACAGTCACTGAATCCAGAGACACACCTATGGGCAGAACAGCAAACCAAGCCCCTAAACATGCTCAAAACCCATGACCCAGGTGGGCTACGTGAATTACTCCAGTTGTCCTTTATGTCCATGCACAACTTAGCCTGTAAGCAGCCTACAATTCCTTCTAATAGCAGCGGTGCCACTCCAAGAACATTCCTCAACCCAGGTATCATTTCACTGGGATTATCCCCAGTAAGACAGAGGAAGGTTTAAGTGATAGCTGGAAGCTCCCTAAGGACACCAATAGGACAGCTGGCATGCATGGGGCTGCTCAGGCTGTGTGAGAGAGGAATGCTCAGGGCAGAAGAAAAAAGCTCTTAGACATAAGAACACTCATGGACTGGATGATCTTTAAGGTCCCTTCCGACCCAAACCATTCTATGATTCTATAATTCCATAAGATGAGTATTTACTTATCCCTGCAGCACACGTCTTTCATATTTCTATAAATAGATCTCCCCAATAAAACAATAAAGTAATATGATAGTTAAATGGGGATAGAAAATTCCTTTCTAAAGCTGGATGGTTTATTACATATACAAAGCCTGGATATCTACCTGAAATCAAAATTATCATTAGTGAGACAGAACGAAAAGAAAAAAGTCCATTTTCAACACAACACATACGGTATTACCATAATTCCACAGTGCATTTCCTTCTTTTATTACTTATTCTGTTTTCAAACAAGTAAATTAAAAAAGACAAGTGCAGTCTGCTTATAACACTGATACAAAGAGCAGAATTTAAAGGATTGGCCCTATGTCAGTCACTTATCAAGTAAATTGAATTTACACTGTTACTAAGGATGTAAAACTGTGAGCTGGGAAATTGGTAGCATGTGTGATTTTGGTGCTCTCTGGTAAATGACCAAACCTTGAATTTTCTGGGAAGCAGAGGAAAACCCTTTTTGTGCTAGCAGGCACACAGCTGGGCCACAGGGAGTTTAAGATTTAAAATTATTCACTTATTTCCATGTCAGAAGCAACGTGTGTGGACTCTTCCACATCACTGAAGTTCTTTAATTCAGATTTCCAAAGTGATATTTCTTTTATATTAATATGACCCAGTTAACACTTTCTCCTGTATTATGCGGTGTCCGTTTAGAGTTTGACCAGCTCCTCATCACTGCTGCCGAGAGCTGCATGGGGGTCTCCTCTCTTGGCCAGGGTGGCCCAAGGCCACCTTCCTCGGAGCAGGATACAGGGAGTCTGGTGAGATGGTTAAGTCCACATATTACTAGTGAAACCCTTTCCACCTTCAACTGTACAGAGTCTGAAGTCTTGAAATAACATCAAGATTCTGCCATGGAGACCATACCTATCGTTTATTTTCATTTTCCATTGTGTGGATATTTCAGTTGCTCACATTTCTATTTCTAGCCTCAGCACAGCGCTATCTGTCACAAAACTCATTTTTACAAGCCCAGCACTTCACAGCACCAACTATTTTCCAACTATTTTCTAACTGAACACAAGAATTCTTGGTCAGGTTACATTTGCAAAAAAAAAAACCATGGCAGAACTGTCTGTGATGTACTTTAAGTGGAACAAAGAGGGCTTTGGAAGAGACCCATTCATAAAGCAATTGTCAACAGATAGGGCTCTGTTACATTCCCCTGCGTAAAAGCCTAATCATAGGTTTGGGCTTGTGCAAACTGCTAAATTCATAGCTCAATGAGCAAAGAACCTCTATTATATATTTTGTTGTCAGCATTAACATTTCAGGAAAATGGAATGCAAAAGCTACTAAATTAAGATAAATTACATGCTTTTTCCTTTCTATTTTAAATTCTGATTCAGGGGAACTGAACTCAGGGTTCTTTACATGGGATGCATTTAAAAGTGTCTTCAGTCCAACGGAAGCAGGATTTAGGAAATGCAAACTGACTAGTCTGCACTTAAATGCTGCTTTGAATTTGATGTTTAATCACGTACAGAAATCACAAATTCTTCTGTGACACTTAATAATGAAGGGAGGGTGAACTGGCTTAAGCTATTTCATCCTCTTGAAAATTGCACAGGATTTCATCAGGCCTTTCCGAGTGACAGGTAGGCACGAGACAGAAAACAGCAACCATAGCCTTTGGGGGAGTTTTTCTCCTTCATTCCACGTTCAGTTTATTCCTGTGTTTCTCACATTTCTAAATTAATTTATGAAGTAAAAATAGTGATGCTAAAATAAGCTAGATAGATCCCAAGAGTACTTTTCTTTCTCCATTTAATGCAACCTTCTGGAGAAAAGCTGAGTAAATGGGTAAGCCCTATCACATGCACCGGGGAGGGTAGAAATCTAGCAACATTTCAGTGCCCTGCTCAGACTCTCTGGGGAGTATTGATTCTGCATGTAGCTTCAAAAAAAAGGGATACAAGCAATGACTCTCCTGGGCCAGCTGTATCTGCATCAAAGTGACCAAACAGAACATAACCAAAGCCCAGCCATGCCATACGCCCTCTCAGCTGTGATCCCAGTAGAGGCAGGCACGCGGGTACAACTGTAACCCATTGACCTTCCCCCCCCTGGGGAGGGCAGAGCTGCCCGGGGCAGTCCCCTAAAGCACTGTGCACTGCAGCCACTGCGCCCAGCCACTGCTCACAGCATCTTCCTAAAGACTTTTGGGTGCTGGAGAATAACTGCAGCACCCATTGCCTTATTGAAGACTGATGAGCCATGTGCCTGCAAAAGAAATGTGCTTTTCCCTCTCCTTTCCATGCTATTTCTTTCAATGTTCATTATTTCACCTATTTCACATCCTAATATGAATACAGACCTGTTAAACTTCACTTGAGAAAGCTGGGCAAGGGGTGAGGTGTCCACACTCTACAGCAGCACAAAGGCACCTTGGTCAGGTGCTTTTGTCCTTGGGGGACAGTAAATCCCATAACATTCCTGTTTCTCACCCTCCCAGGCCCACTCCTCTCCCAGTAACTCCAGGTCTATGGCCATTTTACATCTATTTGGTCAGGCCCTGGATTTGCTTACAGGTGTGCTTACTCAGTGAACCACGCATGAAGTGCTCATTGCCTTACATTATTCCTTGGACCCAGAGCCCAGCCGAGCCCTCGAGGTGCCGGTGCAGGCAGACACTGTCAGCACGAGCCATGAGCTCTAAGGATACACTGCAACGCAGCGCGGGCAGAAATCTGCAAGTTAGCCCCAGGAATGGAAGTAGAACAGCCTTATCACCCAGGTTTTGCAACGTGTTACTTTATGCTGCTGGCAGATTGACATGGCCTTGCTGAGGGGGGAAGCGGGCTGCACCCCCAGCGTTACAGCGCAGCACAGGGGGCTGATTCTGCGGCAGCTCTGGACTGCCCGGGCAAATGGGGCCCGAGCATCCTGTACGCGAAGGTGTTCACACCTGACTCCTTACACACGGAATTCAGCAGCTTGCTTTCTCACGCCAAACAGACAGCGCAGTGATTTTTAAAAGTCTCATTTAAAAAATATCTTCAATTAATTGATTAAACCAAATCCAGTTTCACTGTAGATTGTATTACCTAGAGGAACCGCTGCGGGTCTGTGGCATATGAAAATTTGGTTCTAACACATTCTTGTTACATCCATGAGGACAGAAGGTATATTTCCCCTATTTTTTTTTGCTTTTTCCCATAGCCTTTTTTTCCATGGCAAGCTGCCCCTGCAGCATCCAGACACCCAGGATCATATTCCACTCCTAACGCAGGCAAAACACAAGAGAAGTTCAAGCACCTGAAACACTCTTTTCCTTGCAGTACAGCGCTGAAAGTGACAACCGCTTTATAAAAGAAAAGTTAAATGATAAAGCTTTGTAAGACTGCATTTTATTCAAGAAAAAAGGCAATACAGCAGAGGGAAGTGGTCATACAATTCTTCTGACCCTTCTCAAATGTCTCTTTTGTAAAGCACATTGAAAGAATTCCTCAAAAATTGCTTTTCTTCCCATAATTCCTGATGTTACAGAGTCATCTTGCTATCGTTTTTCCTTTTCTTCCTTATTTTACTGCTGCTTTACTTACTGGTAAACCAAAGTGAATACAAAGGTGTCTTCTTTTGTGACTACTACTCATTTACTATGACTCCAACCTTGCCAGCTCAGTACCAGCAGCAATCTGACTGTGGCAGAGTATAACATGGGCTATAAAGCCTGCGCAAGAGCAGTAAGTACCTTGCTGTCAGCCTGCCTGCAATTCTGCGCTGCTTCACTTCAGCTGCTACCAGCATTTGGGCGAGTTTAACTGCAGCAGTGGCAGTGTAGACATGTCCTTCGTACTAGCTGGGTTTTCCTTCCAGAGTCTTTGCTAATGCTATTTCCTGCTTTGTTTATACCGTCTGCTTATAGTACCATTTGTCTGTGTTACCGTCGTTATCGGCATATCGATACGTACACACCAGCAATGCTTCAGCATTGCGAGCGGTGCTATTCCGAAAAATTACTACTTATTTTGGTCGCTGACCATCCACAGTGAAAGACTTCTATTTCCCAGTAATCATTTATTATATTTGGGCATGCAGGCCAGGTAAATTAATTTGAGTATCCTCTTAAAAATCCTAAATGAAAAGTGGAGTAACACTATTATTCATTAAGACACAGTTAAGATCGTGAGCCACATTGCTTACCTATGGATATGGTCCAAACTGCAGCAATTTTCATAATAGCCTTGGTGCGGGAATTGAAGCGGCTGTGCTCAATGGGATTGCGTATTGCTACATACCGATCAAGAGAGATGGCACAGAGATGCATAATAGATGCAGTTGAAAAGAGCACATCTAGGGAAATCCATATAGGGCACAACTGTTTAGGCAAAGGCCAAGCATAATCTGAAACATAGAGAGAAAAGAAATGAAAGGAAAAAAGAAAAGGAAATAATCTGGGAAGCTAGGCCGTCATTTCTGAGAAACCACTGGGATATTTCAATGCTGTGATACCAGTAAGGGGCACGTGTGTGAGGAATGGACAAAGAAACCTCTCATGGGGCCTCTCTGCGGACAGCCCCTGGTTCCAGACACTCCATAAACCCACAGCCAGTTCCCACACATCTGTTTTCTGTGACCAGTAGCTAAAGGCAAAGGAACATTAATTTAGCAATGCCTCCAAGTGACCATCTTAGCTCTGCTCCTCTCTCCTAACCTTTCTTCCTTACCTTTACAAAATCAAATATTATATTAGTTTATAATTGTCTCATCACATTTCATGGACTGCACAGAACTGCATGGCATTAACATCACTCAGATCCTTTCCAAAGCTCTCTTAATATCTGCTCCTCAGTTTCTGTCTGCTGAGGAGAAAGGTAGCAGACCATTTTTCTATGCCATCTAACAACTAGGTAAATGACACTACTTCACCTTAAATATTCTCCCCAGTCCGCATGCCTTAATAACAGAGGAATGGTTGCCTTTTTACAGAGCAGCTGGGATTGAGTGGCTGAAATCTGAAAACTATTTTGAAGGCAGACAGAGCTGAGTATCACTCTTTACAGAAACAAATGTGCCAACTGAACAGACCAGACAGCAACACCTGACAGCAGCTGGCATGCAGCTAATTGGGGTGTCTGCTTTTATTAATCAGTTTACTCGGCGCTGAAGTACAGCATGAGAATAAAAGTGACCCAGAAAGATCCTCAAGGGGCACTGGTATTTGAATTAAAGCTCAGAGAAAGTTGATTTGTGAATGATACTCCCATGTTAATGCCCAGAACGGATTGCGTGAGATCAATAACATGTTCTGCAAACCTCTGGGCTTCTAACGCACTTATCAAAATAAATCAACAGTAGCTACAGCAGCTGAAAACATGAGAGACTTCATAATAGTTGAATAATGAGATATTCTTGTGTCTTCATTCAGAACATGGCTATCTAAAGCGATCTTGAAGTTTACCCCAAGGATCAGAAACATCACTGCAGAATCAATGTTACATTAAGAACGATGCAGCTCCATCCTACCTCGAATGGAAAGGGAGAAATGTTAGTCTCAGAAAGCATATTTTGAAACAAATTACCCAGCCAAGAGAAACCCAGGATACCTTACATGCAGAAACTTGTGATGAACTGAACCAGAGCAAATTATTACAAATTGTCCCAGCAAAGTCCAAGAACCCTTCACAAAGAGCATAATGAGATGGACACATTAGCTCATTTTACTAGTGGGAAACCCACAGAAGAAGTGTTCAGTGCCTCACAAAATGCACATAACAAGACCTCAGCTCTGGGCAGATAAGTCATTTCATTCAGCAAGTTTGCAGTCCCCCTACTAGATGGACTGTAAGTAGACTGGCATCCAAAGCAGCAAGCATTTAAGAGGTTCTGATCAAAGGGAGAGCACTTCCTGGCTGGAGCACCTTTAAAAGGCATCTCCTTTGTGCAAATGAATTGAACCTGGTTAAATTATGACTCAGCCCCTTTATGAAGCTACAATCAAATTCTGCACCTCCTGCACCCACTGGCACTTTGCAATAGCTTAGGCCATCATTGCCATCAACCTGCAGTTGAGCTCAGAGCTCCAGCTAAGCACACCTCTGGTTTGCTGGGTCCTTAATGATGCCTCAGTGAATGCTCCAGGGAAGAACAAGAACCTCCTTCAAGTGGTACCCATGCTCCTGTACAGCCCCAGGCTTTTGCTGCCAGCCTGAGCTAAAACACATTCAGCCACACTTTATCCCTTGCTGCTTTTCCTGAGTTGCTTGAGCCAGCTTCCTGAGACTGAAACCAGGTCTGAGCATAAGACTTGGAAAAGAGCACCGGGGAATGTGTCCTGATGGATGAAGCAGTCCCTGGGAATATGCATGGGGTGATTTTGACTGTGCAGCTGTCTCTGCAGAGAGAGATGATGGTGATGGCTGCTCCCTCCATCAGAGAGACAGCCAGGAAATCTCCGGTGTCTCCAAAAGGGGACGTCAGGGCTCCAGGCTCCCCACGTGTGGGAGCGTCTCCAATCTGACCTGTGGTGCTGCAGTGGGTACAATCTGATAGTTGACACTTGCTAGACATGGAAAAGGTTTCTACAGCAACCACCTTTTCAGCCTTATTGAATGATGAATGGCCTCTCTCACTTCTTCCTTTGAGCCACCCGAACGCTTCCTGTGACTGAACGACCCTGGCACAACTTCTGCTACTGGTGTGAACCAGGCAGCAGCACGACGACCAACAAATCATCCGACAGCCGATGGCCCTACCCATGGTGTCAGGTTAGAAGGTGTCCCCTGCTGTCAGCCCTGGCACTGCAGGAACCATGGCCACCATCTGATCAAAGTAACGCTGCCCAGAATTACCGCCCCAGCAAGCCGGTAGGGTGTCTTTAAAGATAAAGGTGCTAAGAGAACCCTCCTTACGGCTGATCCTGTGGGTCTTTTCTGTCCCAAGGCACTCTGTTTTGCTTCTAGCAGAAAAGGCAGTTGTAAGAGGAGACATTTTACTTTCTCAGGAAGTTTCCTGAAATGATCTGCAATAATAAAATGTCGCTCTGTAACTTTATAGAATGGCAGTTTGTAACACATGATAATACCTTGACAGCAAGGACATATATATCCTAACTCCAGATGCAATTACTTTTAAGTAAGCATGGTGTGTGCGCTTGAAAAACACCTACACAGCCTACAAAGCCAGCCATTTGTACAAAAAGAAAAGAAGTTTATTCTAATTCTGTTTAGAATAAATGTACAAAACACAGGAAATGTGCCCTGTGACTGTGTCAAGATGAAAATCAAGGATTTAAAAATCAATTCTGTTAACAAAGTTATACCTTTAAAACAATTTTTTCCTCAGAAATACTCTATCTGCAGAAGGTAACTTTTCCCTGATTTGTTCTATTTTCACTCATTTCACACACAAAGAATAGCAATTACCAAATAGCAAAATATATTTAGAAGTGCAGATGACTGAGTGAAATAAATTCTTGGACCCCAGCACTTCTGAGCTTTAGTAATTGCATTTCCAATGGAAAGCCTGCATCTCAGTCCAAACTTGGCTCCAGAAAGAATGAAACAGTACTAAACACTTGGGTAAGCAAAACCCAAATTCTTTGTAAGAAACTCCTATTTTTGTACCTTGAATTAATCTGTGCCCTTAAAATCAGTCATATATTTAATGCACTGGCTGGTAGACCAGAGAGGAGAGTGCTGAAGGGAATTAGATGAATCAAGCAGGTCAGAACAAAAGGCAATATTTCTTCACCCACTGTGTAATTAAACTGCGAAGTTTTTTTGCCTCCAGACATTTGGTGGATGCTAGAAGTTTACACTGGACAAATTCAAGAGAAAAGTGTGGCAATGATACTACTTTTAGATCAGTGTTAGCTTCAGGCTCTGATCAGGATAAAAACATCGTGTATGAAATCCTGGAAGGAAACTTCTGCAGAATGTCTGTGTATATCGTTTCAGCCCCCAGTGCTGTCGTTCTGCACAGGAAACACGGGTCAAACACTCATACTTAATCAGAAGTCCTGGTCCATAGGTGGGATTTCGACTCCTGCACTGTGATAAAAAAGCAAACCACAGTTCCTGTTTGTCAGGGAACAGCTGAGATGGGCACAAACTCTTGGCAGGAAGATACAGAAACTCCAAAGCATCCTGGCAAAGTTGCAGATCATCTCTGTGTGTAGCTTATGTGCTGTCAGATAAGAGTTCCCTTAATTTTCTTGGTGCTTTCCATCAAGAAAGATGGCATCAATGAAATCTAATCACTTTTGTCAGAGGTTTTATGCACATGAGTAAAAAGTGTTGTATAACATTGTTATTACGGCCATTGTGCTGTTCACTGCATGAGAGTCAAAATTACCAGCCACTGCAGCAGGAGGTGATTGAATAATCCAAAACACAGCAAATGGAAGCAAAATTAATTATGTCGAATGGTAAAACAGAATTACTCTAGACTAGAAGAATGGCTGACAGAAAAAAAAATTGTGTTAGAACCTGTGGCTGAAAATAAACTGCGGGACTGCAGAATAGATGGAGGCCGACACAAAACCCCTTCTTCCTCCCCAAAGCCTTGAACAACACCTCAAGAGCCTTAGCCAGCTTTTTGTGCTAAGATGGAGTAGACAGGAGTTGTGTGTACACATATGGACAAACACACCCCACACTACAAATGGACTGGCTCACTACATTTACATTTTTAAAAATGACTATTGCTCGTACATATTTACTACGTCTATAGCATGATCCGCCCCAGGACACCTCCTGGGAATATGCAATGTCACACTCGGGACATATCTGGAATAATAGTGACAAAATACCTGCCTACAGCACAACAAAGCAAAGAGTTCAGTGAGACTCATCCCTGTAGCTTCAGAAATTTGTCACGGCAAACTCACAGCAAGCTGCAGCGATTATTTATTTCCCAGACATGAACAGGAATTTGGAAAAGGCTACAGAACACATCCATTGTGTTTAGCTAGTGCATTATATCTATCAGCATAAAAGGGTAAAAACTACCCTTCAAAATCACACAGGAAGAATAAGGGTATATTTTGTCATTTAGGCTCGTGAACACATTTTATATATATACATACATGCACATATCTATAATGTATATATACATATGCATATCTATATATAAACAGAGCTAAGAGGTGCAGAATATGAACTAGAGATGCTTATTTGTTCAAATACAGCCTCTTGTAACATTGTTCATTGGCTTGGCCAAAAGCTAAAACACATTTAATATTCCTCCTTTTGGGGTTTTGATATTTACTGTATTTTCATTTCCCTATAACTACTAGTAGGCTTTGAACTAACTGAACTAAAAATGGTAGGAAATTATCAAGATTGAATTACTCTTAATCCCAGTACAAAGCACAATTTCCAAGCAGTTAACACGGCAACACA